TTTTTTTCCTTGTGAGCGCACTGAAAGTATGTCTTCCAGGAACTATTTTACGAGTTGTGAGAATTCAATCAAGATGTTCAATTTTGGGACTTCATCTCACTTTTTCATTGGCCGGTATCGCATTGCGAGCTGGCGACCGGTGCTCCGTCTTTATTTTTCACTTAAAGATAAGAACCCGATTTAATGATTAACACTGAAATGATGCCAGCGTTTTTCAGCCGGCGGAATGCTAAGTGAAGTAAGATGTTTCCACTCCTTTCCTCTGTAGAGCCAAAGGATATTAAACATCTCGCTTTCCTGCGGTTTGCGTCATGTATGAGAAACGGCATCACCTTGCACGACCTTTACGCCGTGTGGGAAAGCAGAAAATGTCAGTGCTTTCGGCCTGTTGGCTTCACCTTACTCATCATTTCTACAGCGGTATTTCCAGTTCGGCACGCCGCCCCGCTTCCAGTGAACGTACGTCTTTTTTTTACAGCGGCAACAGAATTTTTTACATCTGCCCAACAGAATGACAGGGAATCGAAAATGGTTCCCACACACGGAACGACGAGAGCAAACAATGAATCTCTGGTTGTGGATGTTTTCTTATGCGTTCCTTGGAAGGAATACTGTAGTTTCTAGAGAAAGAAAACCTTCTTTTTCTTATGTACGGTGTTTATGTTGTAGACCGCAGCAGCCTTGGTCGGTGGACTTTCAAGTATTTTTAACTTGGACTTGAAATTTACATAAAGCCGGACGGACCGCCTTTTCAAAGGGGAGACGACGCTGCAGCTCCCGTCTCACTCTGCCTCCCTCCGGTTCCCACGCTGCCCCTTACCTGACTTACCGCAATTTGAATCAAATCACTATTGCCCAATTGGCTGGCCCGACCATGTGACCTACATCGGCCCTAAAAGCACCGCCTTTTGAGATTGGTCGAGGATTTTCCCATGGGAGCTGCCTACTGAGCCACTGCAGTGTGTGTGTGTGTCTGAATGTATGTGTGTGTGTTTGAGCACGTTAGGCGAAAAAAAAAAGAAAAAGACTCCCCTTCCCTCCTCCTCCTCACCCCCGTCTCTTTCCTACCTCCTCTCCACTATCCCCCTTTCGCTCCTCTTTTTTTTTTTTCCACCACCTCCCATCCTTTGAAACACAGTATCACACTTTAGATAGCCTTTGTTGTCACGGCAAGGAGCGTTCCGAGTGTGAGAATGCTGGAGGTTCCCTGAAAAACGGAAAGAACAAAGAGACAAGCGGAGGAAGACGACGCAGCAACGGCCCAAAACTTTGCCGAATTAAATTAAAATTCACTTAAATGTGTCTTTATGATTTAATTTTCGGTGGCGATCGATCTCAAAGCCCTCGCTTTAAATTACAAAAAACCTGAAGAGAAATCCTGACTTAAAGCCAGTATTTAAATATAATTCAGCATTTTTGCACGTGAGAAAAAAACTCTCTGCGACTCAGTTCTGCGACTGAGCAACCTGCAGTGAGTTTACAAGATGACCTCAAACATGCAAAACGTTTGACTTGTTTTGCACTAGAATCGGTTTTACAGTGCTGTCAGTCAGGTGCTCCTAATAACCACCTAGCTGTGTGCTTCCTTAAAGCCACTTTATAGTTTCTGCATGACTGATGCCGACGCTGAAAGACGGCCATGCAACTCTGTTGATGCCACAGTGACGCTGGCACGCTGGTCTCTTCTGCAGACTGTTGCATTGGTTCTCAAGAATGATTTTTGCCCTTTTTAGAGGAATATAGCAGCTGGTTACAGATTGGGCTGAAGTGTAGTGTCAGTGTGATTGTTCCTGAGGTGTTTCGAGCACAGTGGCCGGACATAGCGCAGGGTTTCTGGAGAAATCAAAGCTCCTCCAATTTATTTAAAATCCTGAAACACAAAGACTTAGATGATGAAGAATCTCCTCGCATAGTTTGTCCTTATACCCGTTTGCTTTCCTGACACGTGCACAGTAGGCGTGCTTGCAGCGTGGACAGCCGGCGTGGTCGCAAATGTTGGGTCGCTTGCAGAGGGGTCCGTGCAGACTTTCTTGAACTTGGGAGGATGACAAAATTTACATTACATGTAGTGTTTGGGACCTTTGGTGACACATGGATGTGGAAGGAATAAATTTGTACCACTCAAGCTTTAGAGGACAAACTGAGTAACTTCTTAAGCCTGGACTAGACTCTGATGTGGACAAGCACACAGACAACTGTGGAGACTGATGATCACACAGTTGTTATTGTTGTTTTCTACTTTTATAGTCAGCATAAGACAGCTTGGAAACCTTTGTTTTCCACATGCTAAGAAGCTCATATCTACATATTCTGGGCATACAAACTACAATGCATGCCCATGTAGCGTAGCCACAAATTTTGTCCTGCACAAACTTGTGAGAAGGGGTCCACGTGGACTCTCGAGAACCTGGAAAGATTATGAAATTTACGTCATGCACACTTGCAGATGCAGAAAGTGTAAGTTCCAGTCTGTGATTTCTGCATCTGACTGGGCGGATGATGAAATTTACATCACACAGACACAGAAAGCATGACTTGGCCTAAACACTGGCCTCATGCTCTGTGTCCAGTATTCTGGTCGTGCAACAGAACAACAACAAAAAAAACACCATCTGTTCAAAAACATGTTTTCCCTGCAGGTCTGTTCATATCAATGTAATGCATTTCACTGCAAATGTAAATAGTGTGTCTTGCTCCATAACTTATCTTCGTGATGGATCTCTGCAGGATCTTTGCATTTGTTTCTCTCTGTTTTGATTATAGAACTATTTCCATCCAGGTTGCGTGTGTTGGAGATGGTATGCGTGTGTGCCTGCCTGTCCGTGGCTTAGCCTTGAGAGTTCAGAGCAGGTTCTGGCTTGCTCAACTCTGGGAAACTTTGAGCTGAGCAAATAGCTCGGTCTGTTTTCCTGGCTGCCGCCACACTCGTATGTGTGAGCCATGTGTGTGCGCGCTGTGTGCATTCGTATGCGGTTTATGCGCACTGTAGTGTGTAATGTGTTTTGTCTGTGTGGTTAATTTTAGTGTGTGTTTGCCTGCTGTGTGTGAGTGTGAAGTGGAAGACAAGGATGAGAATACAGCATGTTCTGAGGGAGCGATGAGCCTCATTCCCACAGACAAGACAGGAGATTACACCTCTGCCATTCCCACACCTCCACTGTCTCCTGCCGCTTTCTCCTGTCCTGACCTCCGTTACCCCAGAGGTAAACACTGCTCTGCATGTGCACATAAAGGAGAGGGCATACTTTTGTGTCGGGCGCTGAATGCTCCCGATTGGCTCCTGATGTTTCGCAGGTAAAGCGAGACAAACCTTAAGTGAGCCAGTGGAGGATCTTGCTTGCGAGCGTGGTTTGATTTACAGCCCACCTCTAAGTGGAATGCTGTTTGCTGGGTGGAGCTCAGGTGTATTGACAAGGCTTTTAGCACTGACATGCTGTCAGGATGGCTTACAGACAAGTGTGTGTGCTCATGTTAGGGGCTGGCAAACATGAGGTCACTAATGTCCTTCCAGGGAGACCTTTACCATGGAGAAGGACAGGCCAGCATGGACATGTGAACATTAGTGAGGCGTAAACGCCGTCTACGCACACACTCACACACCGATCTGATCCTTCTCTAACACTCGCGCCCTTTCACACCAAAGCAACAACCTGGGAAAAATGTCTGTTTGCCATCGGTGTGAATGGGTCAACAGGCGTTATGAGGCGCTGCAGCTCTGCTTTAGCCTGCGTTAACACGTCTGACACAGGTGAACTCTGGTTACTATAGCTACCATAACATTAATAAGGAGAGGTTTTCATACATATTGTCGCCGTGTGATTCAGAGGATTAAGAGTTTAATGCTGATAATCAGGTCATTTATGGTGGATCATTAGGATGCACAGCAGCAGCAGTCGTCAGCATCTTGTGTCATACACTCGCTTTGCGTCATACTTTGGGTGCACAGTAGCTACCGGGTCAATGTACTAAATAATCCACAATCTACATGGTCCATATTTATATTTTAATAGGCTGTTATACGTCTCATTGTGGTTGAGGGATATATAATACTGAAATATCCTGTTGTTGTTGTTGTTGTTGGGTTTATTTCTTTCTTTATTTTTTTTGCATCTAATAAAATAAAACAATTTAATATTAACAGACACAAGATTACTGAACTCGGACATTTATTTAACATTGGTATTATCTGCATTGTCTGTGTTTCCTTAAATGCTGCAAAGAAGTCTGTCTGCAGTGCACTGATTTTAAATTTCAAGTTAATGAATGACCACAGGTAATCGAATCAAACAAAACTTAAGAATTTTTTTTGTGTGTGTGCACGTTACCGCTGTATTTATCAGCAGATAGAAGCGTCTCCTGCTGCTGATCTGATAACGGTGCAGCCCCAGTAGCCAGTACAGCCTGACCCAAGATCTGCTTTCAATCAGCCGCTGATTAATGAGTCTATCCCTGATGTCTAACGTATCGTCTCACATGTGGACATTGGTGGAAAAGACATCTTTCTTGAAAACACTGTTTCTTTTAAATTAGTGATTTTAAATTCAGGAAAGAGATTCTCATGTGTAGGATATGTCATCAGGGAGGCTTGCAAAACATATCAAAGCTTAAGCTGATGATTGACAAAGTTGTACTAAAGTTAGTATTGAGATCCTGCAGAAGTTGCCTATTCATCTTGGGTACCGTTCTTATCTCATATCTTGTCATCATTGCAAATTATTGCTGGTTTTATCATGAAAATGAAAACAGTTGTTGGTCAGGATACAAGTACAAATGTGGCACAAATATAAAACATCTGTTTTTCCTTATTGTGGTGAAAGTTTTCAAATTTCCCTTTTTACTCAATCCAGCCGCCTCCAGAGGACCAACTGGATTCTTTTCTTTTTTTTTTTCTTCTTCTTTTTAAAAAATAAATCTTTCTCTGGGTATTTTTTGACGAGTACCAGCTCTTGAAACCACTTCCTTTAACCCTGCTTCTAATGACTGTTCCTCTGTTTGTCCAGGCGTGTAACAGCGATCAGTATGTGGCGGTTCCTCGAGAGGACATGGTCAGGATGCTTAAGCAGAAAGGTGCGTCATGCCCTTATGAAACCTCACACTGTATTGTAGGAATGAGTTATTATGATGCTGGATGAATACATAAGGACAGTTTTGACTTCACTGTGAACTCATTTTTACCCTTTAAAAATCAAGTCGTGTTTTGTCTGTAGGATACTTGGAGGAGCAGAACAGTGACCAAACACTACAGGAGTCCCATCAACAGGAAGAGGAGAAGCTTGGTGACATTCTGACCCCCGGTGTGACCCCTGAACCCCCCAGGTATGCCCTTCAGTGTCGCTGGGCCTCCCTCTCAGGGCTGGACCCCGACACCCTGACCTTTCCCGGGGGGGAGCCCATTCAGCTCCACACCGTGCACCCTGGCCTCCTGCCGAAGATATCGCTCTTCTACGTCTGCACCAGATGTGGCAAGGTGTTCTGGGAGGGCTCTCACTTCGGCCGCGTCCTCTCCATGTTTCAGGAGGTGTTGCACATAACAGACGAGGACGCTGAATCGGCCGGTACATCGGCACAACAGAACTGACTGTTTACCTGAGCCCATAAAGCATCTGGGAAAAAAGGTTTTGGCACCACATGTGATTTACTTAACAAGAAGACTGAGGACTGTGGATTAAAGCTGCCAGTACAAGTGGACGGTTTCAACAGGAACTTTAAATTTGAAGCTTGAAATATTAAATTATCAGCAGGTAGAGATGAGTCTGTGACGTGTGAGGAAATGAGTTTGTCTCAAAGGTCATCGGAGGCGGAAGCTTTATTCATTCACATGCATATATGTTCAACAGCTTTAAGTTAATGAGTTTACAAGAGTTTCAAACTGTTTTAATTTTAGCGAACCAAAGACAGGTCACAGTGTGATCGCGTTTGATCGTTTGTTGTTGATTGTGTTGATCAAAAATCACATCTACGGCGATCTGTGGTATTGATCCTTTGAACTGTATTTTCTCAACGACACTTTAGACTTCGGTTAAGTAACGTCATCGCTCTGTTAAATGTTGTCATTCAGACGTAGTTCGTTTTTGCCTTAACGTTCCTCACAGCGTCATTCATCAGCCAGATTGGACAAGACCTCAAGTGACCTATTAAGCACTTTAATGCACAAATATTCAAAAGACTTCACCTTAAAGTTATAGCAGCTCATCAAACTGTCCAAACAACTAATAGCCGAGTTTATTTATTGGTTACTGAACAACATCAGTTCTGTCTACGTGTGATGAATAATTGACTATTTTAGCGACAGTAAAGTAAAACGATCCTGACAGCTGTACTGGAGCTCAGGACTCGACCGTGAGGACTAACTGTGTCTATAAACCGTGACTCTGTTCGACAGCTCACCTGCCTGAGGTGAAGAAAAGTACACGCTGACTTGCAGTTAGAGCCTGAATCAATCCCGTCTCTGTGTCAGGGATAATTTATGATTGTAAGTAATTAGTGAAATTGCACGCGTCACTCTTAGTTGGAAGACGCTCATAAAAAAACCTGCTGCAGTTATTTAATCAGGTCAGAGGAAAAACTCCTGCAAACAGCAAACTTAACTTTAGCTCGTTGATAGTTTGTCAGTCTGTATGACACTAATTGTTGGTGAGTCTCGTTAATAAGACCTGTTCCGCTTTCATCGTTTTTTTATTTTAATAGGAAACTGCAGGCCAAAGTGAGTGACAAAGGCTTTTTTTTTGCCCTCCCTCTGATGTTTACGGACCAGTATCGGTGCTGAAATGCAGAAAAAGGCCTTCCCTACATCACAAAACTCCAAATGCACCTCTTACGTGTGCCAATCCAGCAACGCGACTCAAACCTGTGCCACGTTGAAAATGACATGCAGATGTTGCAGAAGTCCACGGTAGTAAGATCGCGACTTTTAGGGAAAAAACGACCGGGGTGCTGTTTTAGTCGTGACGCCGACACGTTCGCATGTCGTCGGGTTACTGGAAGGGAGCGAACGTGTGAAAGGGGGCTTTTGACTCACCAGAGATTTATGTCGTGGCGCTATAAAGCTCACGCGGGACGCATATGCGGCAACGTTAATTTGTTCCATTCAACACTTTCTGGGGTCACATCTGGTGACAACTTTTTTTATTGTTTTGACTTGAAAGCTGCGGTTAGGTGATGACAGTTCCTTCGCCTTTTTAGTGATCTGTGGTACTGTACGTTTTTGTTTTTTTTAAATTCTCTGTTATTGCTTTTACGGAAAGTTGAGTTATTTAGCTGGTTGTGTTGATTAAAATGATTTTTTTTTCATTTCATTGTGAGAAGTGGTAATCATTTCTTTCTCTCCGCAGATGTTTTGGTTTTTTGATGTGTTGCTAAATCCACAAAGCAGATGGTAAGGGGTGGACTGAGGGTGGACAGATTGATGAGATCATCTAAGCTTCACTGATGTCTGTCAGGTGTAACACTAGCGTCGGGGGTTTCCTACCCCGAGGCTTCAAGACCAGTCAGGTCACAGAGCAACCCACCACATGCCGACAGAATCCCTTCGCTTTCGTCCCTTTTTTTCACAAATCTCACGTTGAATTTGTGCGATGGCAGAAGATGAGATCGCCCCAGAAAGGTTGGGAGTGATCTAATGTGGAAAATTCTGCCGCTGAAGGAAAAGTACATGGTAGGCATTAAGCTGCAGCTACATCAGAAGGCTGAGTTTAAAATCTTTTCACACTCATAAAATGAAAGAATCCCCTAACCGTAGCCAGATGTGCACTTTATTTTTATTGATCACTCGCATCAAAAAAGCCACAGTGATTTTCAAAGACAGGTCATGCGGAGAATTACTGAGGTAAATGTGTTTCCAGTGACTGCGCTTGAATCACAACAGCTGCAGGAGGAAGTCTGAGATTTGAATCACTGGATTAATCGTGATGCTGCGCAACGTGTTTGCCATTATCGCATCCCCAACAACCGCGTTGAGGTTACAGATGTGAAGTGTGTGACTGTGTAGGTTGAACTTCTTGGATTGGACTCGACGGGCTTTGAGTTTGGAGAGACCGAGCTGTCCGATCTTTATTAAAAGTGGTGGAAAGAAAAGTTGCTTTGGAAAGAGGTCCGTCCCGACTCTGTCTTCTCTCGATCCCGTGTGTTTCAGAGACGTCAAAGTCATTCAGGAAAAAAAATGACATTTTCAGCTTCACAACTACGTGTAAGTCATAAAACACCAAGATGCTCAACCTCAAGGGCAAAACAGCAAAAATATTTCTTGTCTTTGTGTGCCTGTGAGCGTCACTGTCCGTTCTAAGTGCTGGGTGAGTTGTGGTGCTCGACACCTGATCTTAATCTTACACATCGGCTATCACTCCTGGAGACGCCGTGGATTACTTCTTTCTCAGACATGAGGCCAACTCTTGCTTTCCATGTCCGTAAATTCCATCGATGCTCCAACACGGTGGGGAGTTCTATACTCTCCAGATATCTTGTGCTGTGTTCAAACACGCCTCAGAAGTAATCACATTAACACGGCGCTACAATCCAATCTGTAAGTAGCTGTTACGTCCTGTAGAAACTTCCATGTGTGTGTGTTGTTTTTTTTTTGGAGACATGAGGTCTGCTTTTAAGTCGACACTAGTCTGCAGAAGGTGTGAAGCAGAACGTTTTGTGTTGGATCAACCACCTGCCTAATATTGTGTAGGTTCCCCTGCTCTTCCAAAGCAGCTCCGACCAACACAGGACCTCTGGGGAGTTTGGAGGCCAGGTCTTTGGCTCTTGGTCGTGTTCCTTGACGGGTGGATGATGTGTCCAAGCAAGACACATATCAGTTCTAATGTCGTGGCTCTTATGTGCGTGTACTTTGGCCGCACTTGAACTTTTTCACCGACTTTACACACGATTGGCACCACTTACTCAGGCTTTAAAAACTTTGTTGGTGGTTGTTTCATTCTTGTTTGCATTTGAATCACTAAAAAAAGCCCAGAGATAAGGGCAGCTATCCACACGTCGGGACTAGTATGAGATAAATCATCCAGAAAATTTCAAGAGCTTAAAAGACAAAAGGAAAAAGCTGGGGTCAGTATTTTAAAAAAAGTTTCCAACGCTGTACTAAATCACCTCAAGTGACACTTTAAGGTGTGAGAAAAGGCTGATGATAAAGTGGATGCATGACTGCTCCTGGCAGCCACTGAGCTCATTCTGCAGAGGAGACTTCTAATCCCTGAGAAGTGACGAAATAAAAAGATTTCTGTTGCAAAGAAGTGTCTAGGTTGGCTCCTTATATTATAGTTTAATATAATACGAGCTTTTTTCTTCTCAAGCATACATCCTGAAATGCAAAAAAAAGAAAAAACTTGGCTGGCTGCCATGCGCCTTTTAAAAACGCAGACTGTATAATAACTACAGTAACATTAAGCTTCCCTGGAGTATTTTTATTGGTATGAATGAAGTCGACACCCAAGCTCCCAAATAACCCCTCTCAGTGTGTCTTGTCCCGTCCTTGTCCGGGTGGTCGCAGCCCCTGCCTCTGCAGAGCGCAAGCTTTCTGCTGCAGCACCGTGTTATTTGATCCTTGCTCTTTCTTTGCTGGGAAGAAAAGCTCGCCTCTTTCCCACGCTCTGAGGACACGTGGTGCCCGGAATGAATTGGATTCAGAAGACCCGCCCTCCCGGTAAAACGTCACACCTCTCTCTCTCTCTCTCTCTCTCTCTCTCTCTCTCTCTCTCTCTCTCCGACACACACACTCTCTCACACACACACATTTTCTGGCTTTAATGTAAAAGATTAATATCGCCAAAGCGTCATGGTGAAGGGAAAAAAAAATCAGCATCTACATGACAGTTTTAATTTATTTCCCCTCTCTGGCATCCCACTGTGTGCGCTTTCCTATCTGGACTCTTCAGCAACACGCATCCCCGGGTAGAGACGGGACGGGACTGGAGGCTCCTCCCGTCTTGTCTGGCCCCGGCTGCCCCGGCCCCGGCGCCAAAAACTCGGTCCGGCGCACCGAGCGAGCTGCGTCGAGCTGTCCGGCGCTCCGGGGTCGTTCTCTGTATGGAAAGGAAAAAAGAAAAAAAAAAAGTCTCGTCTTGTTTATCAACACGCAGCAGCAGAGCAGAGATATGGCTGCGCAAACAGAACCAGAATAGACCTTTATTATCGTGGTGTTCCAGTCAGTAGATTACCTAAAAGTGTTTTGGAGATGGTTTTTTTTGCGCTTTTACGCACGCGTTGAATGCATCACTGGCGTTGTAGAGTGACTGAGAAACACGAGAAATTGGCAAAAAGTAAGAAGTCTTTTATCTCTGCTTAAACAAGTGTACCTTGGCTGCTGCCCAGGCACACATTACCAAGAAAGACTCAAGAGTGAAGAGTATGTATTGGTGGGGGAGGAAGGCAAGAGGGGGTGTTTGGGGAGAAACTCATCCAGTGGAGAAACTTTTGGCTCCTGCAGTCTGTGTGCAAATGTTTTCCAAGTGTCCAGACACATTGCAGCTAAAGCTCTGATAGCGGACAGATGTTCCTGATTTTCCAGAAAATGTTCTGCACCATTCAGCAACCTCAGACAAAGAGAGAAGAAAAAAAAAACTAAACACATGTACAGCACTGTGCAGAAGTTTCAGGCAGTAAAAGCAAAGCGAGGAAAATTCAAAATTAATGTCTCTATTTATTTAAAGTGCAGTTAACCGACTAAACTAAATTACATTTGCTGCGGTCGCACTTCCTCTTAAAACAGTTCTTATTCTCCAAGGTACACTTGTGCACAGTTTCATAAGTTTCTTGGCAGGTAGGCTGATCCAAGCATCTTGGAGAACTTGCCACAGTTCTTCTGTGGGTTTAAGCTGCCTCAGTTGTTTCTGTCCATTCATGTAATCTGGGGTTGGGGGGGTGTTTGGGGGGGAAACCATCTGTTGTTGTATGTTTGGGGTCGTCGTCATGCTGCAGAATGATTTTTTTCTGGGACCGGGACGTCTCCCTGGTGGTATTACATGATGAATAGGAATCAAAACATCTAAAGTAAGTTCAGTTTCTGCAAGTTGCCATACATGAGTCTAAAATTAGCAGCTCTTCAACCCATTACCCAAACTTCCTGCTCATGTGGGAATTCTGATCTTGTACGGCCCTGCAGGTCAGGGTGGTACCACAGGAAGACCATCGAGAGGAACACATGAATGTCACTGCAGCCTACGTCTGATATAGGTATCCACCACAGTTCTGTGAATGAGTCAGAGCGGCTGTCTTTGTTTTGGAGCATGTGCAGCTGTGGGCCACTTGCTGCAGCGGAACAAACAGACAAACAAAAAAAACACACACACAGGCAGCAAACAGTCACCTGCACATTCACATAAAGTATTCCGAACAGATTAATCATCGTCTCCCACGCCGGCTGTTTGACCTTATTGTTGAGCAAGTCCTAAAATCAGACATCAACATGACCAGTCATCCACGGAAGTGCTGGTCTCTGATGGTAACTCTGCTGGCAACAACAGCATCACATTGTGGTCCACTCACTGATGACCTGAACTGTCCTGCAATGCCAAAGTCAAGTCAGTTTTACTTATAGAGCTTAAAATCAACAGAATCTTCTTTTCTGAAACTGGGCACAAACACATTTTTCACTGAAGTGCACAATGAGAAGCTTTTGGTAAGTGACCATAATAGAACCTTAATATTGCACTTTAAGGTGTCCTGCTTTAGAAAACAATGGACTCAAGCTGACTAACATGATTTGACTTTATGCTTCTGTTAAAAAAAAGAACCAGGATTTCACTGTGGTGCTCCAATATTCAAAAATAACGCATTCTAAGGTGTGCTGGTGTAGAAACTAATGGACCAAAGTTACCCAGGTTAATTTACATCATCAGTTTATCCTTCAATTAAAATAGAATAAATATAAATCATGATGTATTAGTTCTATTACCAGATGAAGTGTTCCCATCTGCAAAAATACTGGTAGTTCTCTTATTTCATATTCTACTATGTGCTTTATCACACTTAAACAAGAGGGACTAGTACAGCACACATCTGCTCTTTTTAAAGTGTGTTTGCGGTAATAAACAAAACAGGAAACTTGTGTACTGTCGCTATGTGTATTTGTGGCTTGAACTATAAAATGTTCACTTTCAGATGCTTTATTTCTGACTTTAATGGACACCTGCTGTCACACGGTGTGAAGCAAGAACTCCTCCAGCCCTGATCATGTGCTCTGATCTAATAATGAAGCTGACTCTATGTACAGAACTGCTGAACTCGTGTTTTCAGCCCCTGTGCGCGCTTATAGATTAAATGAAGTACGTTGTTTTTTGGCCTCCATGTACGTGGGATCTCTGCTGCCGTCTCTCCCACACGCTGACGCTCCGACCCGCAATCGCGCACTCCTGCAAGCAGATGCAGCCGCAGACGTGCGCCAAATGTACAGTTCAGAGTGTGGGAAAAAGAGGACAGTGTGAAAGCCGCCGAGCCATGAGAGGCAGAGAGCGGCTTGTAAAGTCGAGATGAGGCGAAGTCTGGGCCGCCGAAACGGAGCAACCGGTCCGAGAGAGACGCTGCCGCTCGCCTGGTTGTGGTTTCCACGTGTTTCTCCTCCTATCTATCCATCTCTGTTTCACTTTAACGTTCATTTTTCTCTGTCTGTCAGTATCTATCATCACCTTTTTTCTCTGCGTCTCTCTCTCTCTCTCACACACACACACTCTCTCAGGCGCACAGTTCCCACGGTGGCGGGGGCAGCTGAGTGGCGTGTCAATCTGCGCAAAGCGTCACCTCTTTTCACTTGCAAAAAGGAAGTAGCGCAGGGCTTTTGTTATTTGAAGTCCCACAGTCTAGTCATTTAAAAACAACTGGACTATATCCGCCGTTTATGATTTAAACAGCCACCTATAATCTCCTCCTCGGAGGTGTTTTTATATGGAGAGGTATGACGGACAGAGCCGTTTGGGCTTTTGTGCCATTTGGTTCGGAGTTAGAGACAAACAGGCTCTTTAGGGGTTTAGACTTTTACACTTATAAACGGTTAAACGATCTATAAGTCACCTGTTGAGACCTTAGCCTTTAGATAAATTTGATTAACGTGTGTCCACAGCACACTGGACAGAATCCTTATCATTTAGTCGTTTTTATTTCTTATTTGTGCGCAAATGAGCTGAGATTGTTACCTGGAGTCAACCTGTGGAGAAAGCTGGGTCACATACAGCTCCAGCCACACCCTCTCCTGGATACTGTGACCTTATCAGCCCCCTAAGCACCAGAAGGTGTCGGTAAATCCAGATATGACAGGCTACCCTCATCTTTAAAGAGACATCTTCATAAAACCAGTTTAGCTGAGCGTCCAGAAGCTAATGGGGAGACTTTTCTCCCAATAAAAAGTAAAATTCTATTTCCTGCTTTCCCCAATACAGTGACATATCATACTAATAATAATGATTAGCTATCTCTCTTCTTTTTACTTTTTATTTGTCTGTATGCTTTTTTTTTGCTTTGAATGCGCAAAATCTCCCACTGAAGCTCTGAACGTCCCTGTGATGCGACTTGATTGACTTTTTTGTTCCAAGTTCCTGTTGATGTTAATCCAGCAGACGATCCTCTGCAGCGGACCCGCTTTCTCAGCACTTTGCAGCTCTGGCAGCACCATCATGCCTCTGGCTTTCAATCCGCTTCACGGGGTGGGCTGCAGGAGATCGGATATAGAGATCACCATAATATTGCTGCGGGCGGCTTGTTTAATATTTCTGCAGCAAACGTTTGGCTCCCCCTTTTAGCGACACCACGCCCCCCCTCCCGACAGATTCACAGAGCCCCTGATCCCTCCCTCTAACCGAGCCGGCAGCCTATAACCTCCCCGGGTCTCCGCCCATTCCTCCACAGTTGATTCTTTGGGAAGGTATTGTCATGCAAATAAAGGACGGACGCGTAAAATATTCCCCCAGAGCGCAGCGCAGGGCAGAGACTCACACGGACCGCAAGGAGGACACAGACCGGGCCACACGGTGGATTTCTATCGTTTACGTCGCTACGGACCCGTCCATCTGTCACAGGTAAGTCACAAATCCGCGGCGGATTACAGTTCCAGACATGCTTAGTGGCGAAATCCAAGCAGTGAATCCGTGCGTAAACGTGTGCGCACGGAGCTCTCCGCTCTCTCACTCTTGGATGTGGCGGAATGTGGGGGTCTCTCTGGCAGTCTGTTGGTGAGGAATCGGGATTCATGCGGATTTTTTTTCTTGTCTTTTTTTTTTTTTTTTGTCCTTTCCCAGACACCCTGGCCGCCACATGAGCAGCGACATATAGCCAGGAAACAGGTTGGACCGTTCAAGGAAAACCGACGGGGATCCGACACCGAGGAGGAGGCTGCCCCGTGGAGACAGCGGTCAAACACCAGCTTCCCCGAGAGAAGTCGGAGGTGTCTGTCTTCTCCATCCCCCTGTGTAGGCTACCTGCTGCTGCTGCTGCTGCTGCTGCTGCTGATACAGAAGGGGAACTATATCCAGAGAGCCCTGGATCGCTTGAGAGCACCCTTTTTATGTTTTAGGGGATTTAGGATCTCTCAAATATTAACATTTTTTGCACACCAAGTGTGTCATTTCTTCTCTTGTCCTTTTTGGGATATATACAGTGATATTTTTCCGTTTTAGTACTTTAAAGTGCCTTAACAGCTGGTTATAATCCAGTGTAACTGTGGCATTCTTACCAGACCAGAGACGCTCAACAGGGAGAAGACGATTATTATCAGCTTTAGAGCCCAGGCAGGATTACTTTGTTCCCCACCCTCCAGCGAGCTGCAACCATGAGCCAGGCGGATGTGTCGACTTGCTCCGCGCCGCAGAGGGTTTTCCAGGAGGCGGTGAAGAAGGGCAACACCAAGGAGCTGCACTCTTTGCTGCAGAACATGACAAACTGCGAGTTCAACGTCAACTCCTTCGGGCCGGAGGGACAGACGGCCCTGCATCAGTCCGTCATTGACGGCAACCTGGAGCTGGTAAAACTGCTGGTGAAGTTTGGCGCAGATATCCGGCTGGCCAACAGGGAAGGGTGGAGCGCTTTACACATCGCCGCCTTCGGGGGCCACCAAGACATTGTGCTATACCTCATCACCAAGGCCAAGTACTCCTCTGGCGCCCGGTGATCTGTCTCTGCTGTCAGGTAAAAAAAAGAAAAAAACAGAAAAACAACAAAAAAGAAGAGAAAAGTAGAAGATAAAAAATAACAAATCAACAACAAATGAAATATAGAACTGCAACACAACAACACACGGGAAAGCCAGGCTCTTGTAAAAGCAAACAAAACTGCCATTATCTACATAGTTGTGCCAAATTATATAAAGAAAAAGGAAATAAAGTAGGCCTGCACAGTAACCTTTCCTCACTGTAAACCAAACGGGGCCCTCTCTGCACTCCAGAGCGCAGCGCCGCATGGTTCACACGCAGCGCTTCCACACGAATCTTTAACACAAAAAACCAAACCAAACCAAAAAAAAAACACCCATTTCGGTGAGTTTGTTGGTACTAAAGCTTTTCCTCTTGAATGTGCATCTTAGATCGTGTCGTCCACTATTAAAGAAACCCGGTCTGTGCATCACATGTGTGTGTGTTTGGACTCCAGAGTGCAGATGGCCCAGTTTCTCCTCTCTCTCTCTGTCTCTCTCTGTCTCTCTATCCCTGACCTCCCCATTCTCAGTACAGTTGAATAGTTTCTTTGTGGGAGCGCAGATTTGACCTGTTGCTCCTCATTGTTCTGTAAAAACCCTTTTTAAGTTATTTTATAATGAAAACACGGCACTTGATGCTACATGGCTGCATGCTGGAATATCTGAAAGGGAAGACACACGAACAAGAGAAAGAAGGGTTGCCCTCTGTTGGCTACCAGAGGTCTATTTTCTTTAATAAATTCATTGATTTTTTTTATTTTTAGTTTTTAAAACTCAAAGAGCGGCATTATGGCTATCCAACATTTTCTTTTCTTCCTCCAGATGTGTAATCATTATGTAACAACAATTGACTTCATGGTTGTTGTGATGTACTGTACACAATAGCTTTACTTTGTTTCTGTTATTTTTTTTAAAAAGGAAATTTAAAAAAAAAAAAAAAAAAGCTGAATGCGCTCTGCAAGCAGATCTTGCCATGCTGGCGTCCAACTTTTTTGTCAGGCCAGTGCGACCACTTTGCCAATGGTCATTGTGTTACTTTAAAAAGAAAAAGAAAACCGCTGCTTTCGCTTTGTATCGAGAAAAAAAAAATTGGAATTCACTTTATAATCTCCTTTCAGTATTTTATTAACATCCTAGTCATCACTGTGAAAGCAGGCTGGGTCTTTTCTTTTTTTTTTCTTTTTTATTTATGAAGGTACATTGAGAAGATGCATTTTTTTATGTTGTGGTTCTTCTTTTTTCTTTTAAAAAATCTGTGTAGTGTAAGAATATCATGGGTGACTCAAGCTGCTTCAGACTCTTTTTTTTTTTTTTTTTTAATAGTGTAAACTGTCCCGTGTGGAGGTTGACCTGCCACCACTCCCACCCACCCACTCCCACGCATCCTCCTCTCCCACCACCAGCACCACTGTTATAGCCTGTTGAACCCTCATGAGGACTTTTCTCCTCCCATTTAAAAAAAACAAAACAATGACTGTTTGGTTGCCTTTTCCCAGCTACCTCGACTATATAAAGTATTCTCAAGTTGCTTTTTTTTTTCTTCTTCTTCTTCTCCTCACCACTCCTATATTTTTTTTCTTTTTTTGGAGTCTGAAGAGATTCACAGTTCTGTCTGTGATCCTCACACATCATTGCCAGTATGTTTCTTGCTTATGTAGCCCCAACATGGACTTCAGCTACAGAAGATGCAATCAGCTCCTCCATTCTCCTGCATCCTCAAAGTCAGTCGGGACAGTTTATGTTACACTACAACCAAACCAGTGCTGACAAAGCAAAGCATCTTTTTTTTTTGTTTCTGCTTAAGGGAGATGTTGCTTCTCACTGCCATTGTTGCATGTTCTCCCCCCCCCTCTATAACCCTCCACTTTTTGCTCTTCCTCTCTGTCCTCATCAGCCTGTATTTTTTATTTTATTTTCAGTCATACAAAAAGAAAAAAAGAAAAAAAAATGGAATTGTATCGCATGACTTATAAATGCAGGGAGTTTTATTGCACAAAAATACGGAGCCTTGTGCGCCCCCAGTGTTCGTACGGGGTAACTGCAGGAGCCAAGGCTTTGGAATAGTTACTACTACTGAGCAGGACCCTAATACTGTTGGACGATGAAGACTTAAAGAACAACAACAACAACAACACATGACTATTGCAGGATGTCACAGAAAAAAAGGAAAATTTGGTTTCAGAAACTTGCCTGCTGCATTTTTTGAAAGTCATGGCACCCTAACATTTGTAACAATGCTGCTTGTATGTTTTCTTTTCTTGTTAATGTTGATGTTTTATTTTTTATTTTTTAAAGCCTACTGCTCAAATGGCCAACAGTTGTGTAGAAGCTTCACAGCAGCACTGGTTCACCTCATGAGAAGCTGTTGAGAAAGTGTGACTTTTTTTTGTTTTCCTGTTTTTATTTTTGAGTGAGAGTGAGAGTGTGTGTGTGAGAGATGTTGTGTGTTTTCTCATGAGGCCTGTGTGACTGTGTTTAAAACAGAAAAAACAGTCGCCAGACTGACAAAAAGAAAACTTCCCATTTTCAACCTGGAACGAACACGATGAACCTGAAACAAGCCGATAGTTCCGCCACAGATTGGTATCAGGCAACAAATGAAATATGCATCGCTTGTCTTAAACTTGATTTATTATTACTATTTTTTTTTTATTTTAACTTTTTTTTGTTTTGTTCGTTTGTTTGAATATTGCACTGATGACTGTTGTTGAAAAGTTGGCTTTTATGTGTCAACATTTTTAATTTTTTTCTGAATAGAAAAAAAAACAAACACAACAAAATACTATTGTATAAATATATGCTCCAGGTGATAATGTCCTAATGTGTGTATTACTTTGTGGAAAAAACATGATGTTTCTCAACAAAGATGCGTGTATCTCTGTGATTGGGTGTATGTATATATACATATGGATATATATATCGATGCTGATGATGATGATGATGATGATGATGATGATATCTTGGGGCACTTTCTTTTCTGAAGTGCTGTCTTCCTGTTTTGTTTTTTAAAGGGGAATAATACATTTGATGGTAAGATCATTGTAACATGATTGAAAATTGCACGGTTGTGCGGTTATTTGGCTTACCAGGGTCATAACATTTATGACGTAAGGAGCCAGCTGCCGGATTTGGTGTACATGAGCGAGATGATTTTTTTTTCTATAAAAAAATGGAGGAAAAAAAAAGAAAGAAAAAGTGCTGACTTCTTTGGGTCAACATGTGTTCCTGGTCTTGCTTCATTTCAAGCAAGATGGGAAACTGGTTGACTTTTCATGAGTGATGCAGATGTTCCATCATGTCTGACTTTTTGGATTTTTTTTTTTTTTGGTTTGTATTCTTTTTATTTTTGAACATTTGTAACACTGTGATGATGACGCGATGTCATGTGGAGATGAGTGCTGTATTATTTTTGTACGTTTGTGTACAAGCCAGTAAAGAAATCATTAAACTCAAATCCTCTGTGTATGCATACATTTCTTTCTCATCTTCCCAAAGCAAAAAGCTATGTTTTCTGCTGCTCAGCTCCCCCTTCCTCCTCCTCCTCCTCCTCCTCTTCCTCCCTCCTCCTGCATTTTTCATAGAAAAGGTTGGTTTGGGAAACACACCCCCACCCTGCTCGCTCGCTCTCTCACTCTCTCTCTCTCTCTTTTTCCCTCCCTGTCTTCCAAGCCGGGCCCAACCCAGATCCCCATTCTCTCCTTTTGTCATTCATCTGGCCTCATCCTTTCACTGCCGGGATAAAGGAGCCCGGTGCATTGTGGGTAGGCTCAGTTTAAAGAAGGGTCCCCTCCCCTGTGTGTGTTGTGGGAGAGATGGTTTTATGTTACCCCCACACACTCAAAAACTTTCCAACACACTCTCCTCTTGTGCTCTCCTTCTAATGATTAAGACCCGAGCTTTGCGCCGCGATTCAGCTCTCTGCTGACAACCTGTTGCTTTTGCACTTGAATATGTCTGTCACTCATTATTTACACTCTCAGATTATCTTTGTGTCGCTCTGCTAACCCTCTCCCCCGAAGCGCAGCCGCTCGTCGTCTGCAAAGAAAAATTCTCAATCATGTGACTTGTTGGGGAAAAAAGGGAGCAAAGCATATCCCTCGCTTGTTTTATTTTATTTTCATGTGTGTTTTTGTGGTTTTTATTCTGTACTTTGAGGCCTTCCAGAGTGTGATAACGATGCATGAAATGACCCTGAACATGGTTCCACTGTTAACTGCTCTCACTTCATTTGTTGAAAAAAAAAATACTGCAGCCAGAAAGTCAAGTCTGTGCAATCTGTACTTCTGATTTGAATCATTTTCTGTGCTGGAGAGTTTGTTTGTCTTCATCTTTTATTGCTGGACCTGCCTTTTAAGCATTTTGTTCATCAGCACCTGTTTGCCACCTCCGATCGAGTCGCCCCGTTTCTTAGAAATGCTGCCTTGTAAGCTGATATTTTGCACGGCGCTGCGTGGAGGGCTGTGGGAAATTTGTGTGTTCTCGTGTCAAACCTGTTCGTGTCGCAACGTTCGCTGGGTGTCGACCGGCTACGAACGTTTGAGCAAAGAGGGTTGCGAATGTGATCGAAATAACGGTTGCGGTTTGAGAAAGTTTTTCACTACTTGGGTGTGATCTTGAGTTCATGTGAAAAAAAAAAAAAAGCAAAGAGGAGCAGTGTGTTACTTCTGGTTTTCAGTGATAAGTTTAAAAAAAAGTGTGCTATTTAAAGCAGCTGCTAACCTCACGTTGTGAACTGCGGCTCGAACGCTCACGCGATCCGATGCATTTCTTTGTCGAGCGCCGGCGAAGTTAGCTCCTCAGAACCGCCAGAGCCTCTCTGTGTTTTGATACCGTGGCAGGCAGGACGGGTTATCTGGCCTGCTGCTCGCTTGTACTTTCCTCCCTCCCTCCCTCGCTCCCTCCCCAGTCTCTCACTTCTGCAGGATGTTTTTGTTGAGCTGGGTTCCCATTGTTCACACACTGAGTTGGCTGGCCTCCCAGGGTTGCTGCTGGCTGCTAGGCCCCCTAATAGGTTCTTCATGTGCCTTGGCTTTCCTCGCTCATCTTGGTCTGGCCTT